CGCCACTTCACCTGTTCCAAGGCGTGTTCAACTTCATTCATGCCCTATCGAGTTTTCTCGACAAGTCGCGGGTGGGTGGGGGGTTTGGGCTCTTGCTCAAGCAGGGGAGGTGGTCACGCGCGGATGCAGGCCAGGGAATTGCATCCCGTATCGTGTGCACAAAGGTTACATCACAAATATCGCACCGCAGATATGATAGCGCTATGATGTAGCAACACATATCGTGCATTCTCTCCTATTGCACCGCATAGACGGGACCACATGGATATATTTCACCATGCGCAGATTGCACAACATTGAGTGCACATCGAGAGTGCAAGGGCCTCTCTTTCGAGCACGCGCTGGCTAACATTGATATTCCGCGCGTGGTACCCTCATCATGCGTATCTGAAGGGCTCGGGGGTGTCCTCATCCTCGCCCCCCTCCTCCACCCCAAAAACCTCCTCTTCACTACTTCTTCGTCCCCTTCCTCCCTCCTTCTGCTTCTCCCTCCTCCTCCTCATCCTCCTCCTACTGATCACTATTCCAGGGCTGAACCAAAATGGTGTCTTTCGTATTCGTTTTGTTTCGGTTTCCCTCGTTTTGTCTTCAGTCCGGCTTTAACGCAAAACGAACTCGAAACGAAAACTGCCCCCGTGAAATCGCCAAAACACCGTTTAGGTTCACCCCTGCACTATTCCTCCTCCCCCTCCTCATCTTCCCTCCTCCTTCCTGTGACTCCACTTCTTGGGGTGGGTCCCTCCTTATCGCTGCCCGCGCGGCCAGCCACGCCTCGGCCTTTGCGGCCGAGGGCTCTCCTTAAGTCGGGCGTGTCCCCCTACAGGAAAATTTTGGACGAAAAACAACAAACCCAAGATTACCTATACGACCACCCTGCGGGTGATAAGGAGGTTGGGGGGGGGGCCCAGCAATTGGCAACAGTGGTGAATATTGCTGTGACAATGCCAGTGGAGATAGTTGCGTTGCCGCTCGCTCTTGGGGGCGTTGGTGTCGAGTTGTTTACGTCACCCTTCCCCTGGGAACCTGCCCAACCTGCGCAACGGCAGCTAACGGCGCCATTTGGCCACAGAAGACTGAAGCGCTGGCATTCGGTCTCACTACCGATCTCACAATCGATATCACTATCGACGTCGTCATCATCATCATCATCATCATCATCATCATCATCATCATCATCATCATCATCGACATCACCATTAACATCATCATCATCGTCATCATCATCATCATCAGCATCATCATCATCATCATCATCAACTTCGTCATCATCATCACAATCATCATCACCATCATGGCCATCATCACCATCAGCATCGCACAATCGATCTCACATTCGGTCTCACTATCGATATCACAATCGATCTCACAATCGACGTCATCATCATCATCATCATGATCATCATCATCATCAACGACACCAACATCATCATCATCATCATCATCATCATCATCATCATCATCATCATCATCGCCATCATCGCCATCATCAACATCATCATCATCATCATCATCATCATCATCATTACCATCATCATCATCACCATCATCATAATCATCCACGTCATCATCGGGACACCGACGGGACACCGAAGGGACACCAGCGGGACACCGGCGGGACACCGCGCGGCACCGGCCGCCCGGTCAAGGTTCTTTTGCCCCGGCCGCGCCTCAGCCACACGGGACACCAGCGGGACACTGGCGGGACACCGCGGGGCACCGGCCGCCCGGTCAAGGTTCTTTTGCTCCGGCCGCGCCTCAGCCACAGGAGACTTTCTCTCGCCCGCCCACGCAGCTTCGCCTCGCCCGCACGGCACGCACGAACACGAAACCGAAATCGATTTCCCGGTAGGGGGGCTTTCCGTTCCACTTCGATCTCACCCCCCAACCTCCGATCCCCAAATGGTTAAAGAAATACTATAAAAAATAGTCCCCAGACTATTTTTGATTATTTTTTGACTATTTGGGAATATTATTTCTGTAGGGGGACACGCCCGACTTAAGGCTCCCCCAAACATGGAGGACAAGGGCCGCCCACGGACCCCGGGACTGATCGGCGCACGATGAAGAAGGCTGTCCCTGCGAAAGCCCCGGGTCCCATGACGGCTTCCCGTCAGGACCCCGCTCCCTTCGTCCCCGTGCTCCCCTTCCCCCCTGCACTTCCCCCGTCCCCTTCACCCCGTTCCCGTCGCTCCGTTCCTTTCATGTGGCGACTATTTTTCGGGAGCGGCCAAGAGGGGGGTGCCCAAGAGGGGGGGGTGCAAATCATGACCGGCGGCATGTGCGCGGCCCCGCGGGGGTGGCCAGGGACGTAATGAAATAAGAAGAGGCGCCATGAAATCTGGGGAAATATCATGGCCCCCGCCATGATTTCCATCCCCCCCTAGTCTCGGGTCGGGCGAAAGGGGGAGATAGCAAAGGGGGGGGTGAGAATCAGCTCACGTATGTAGCTGATTTTCTCGGCGCCTCCCGGCGCCGGAGGCGGCCATGTATCGAGGAATGGGCCCCTCGGTGAGGCCGAAACCAGCTGCATGCAGCAAATTTCGTAACCCCCCCTTTCCCAATCCCCCCCTTTCGCCCGGCCCGATAGTCATCACCCCCCTCTTTTCCGCCCCCGATTTTTTTCCCCCCTCTCCCCTGCACTGCCCCGTGCTGACCCCCAGCGTGGGCAGGGACGGCACGCGACGTGGCCTGCAGCTGGGACGCGCGCGCCGGCCCGCCGTACCAGGCCGCCTCCTGCAGGGGCTCATCCACCAGACGCGGGGGGTGGCACGCCACACAGAGACCACACACTGCGGGAAAAAAACACGGTGGGAACAAACACACTGTCTGCAGGAAAAAACACCGTCTGTGGGAAAAGAAACACTGTCTTTTTGTTCCTACAGTGTGTGTGTGTGTGTTTCCCACAGACTGTGTGTTTTTTTTCCCACAGTGTGTGTTTTTGTCCCCGCAGTGTGTTTTTTCCCGCAGTGTGTGTTTTTTTCCCACAATGTTTTTTTTCCCACAATGTGTGTTTTTTCCCACGTGTGTTTTTTTCCCACAGACTACCCTTGTCCAAGGTTTGTGGTCGCCCACCGTAGATGCGGTCGCTTTTTCGCTACGGCAGCCAAGCCGCTCCATCGACATTCCGGCCGCCGTCTGGCAATGCGAGATCGCTTCGCCTGAAGGCCAGCGTATTGGCGCGTGCGTCGCAACCAACTGACAGACACATGGTGCCAACGGACCCTTCAGCCAAAATTTAAGACGTTTACCGCACAACCAAATAATGAATAATACAAACGCACAGGCTACAACGGGGGGAAACCATCCCGCGCGGCAACCTTCCAGGGGAAAACCACCGAGATAGAGAATTCCCAAACTTCCTGAGCTAAAACGGTTTGGGGCTTACTTTTTCGGACCCCAGATGAACTGAACCAAATCTTCTCAAAGCACAAAAAAACCCTGGCCCCCAGCCCAGGGGACCGTGAAAGCACAAACGTCAAGACACGTCGGGCCCCAGCGCGCCTTCAGGACCCGCTCCCAACGAGGCAAAACCAACCTAAAGCAATTTGTAAATAATTATCAGCATATCTGTCCGCGTCGCCCGTCATTCCCACAATCGCGCCCAGGCGCAACCGTTTCTGCTCCGTGCGCCCTAGCAGAATGACGAGCCCCAGTCCCAAGCAATCACACAATGAGTTTGGCGATTTGCCAGCGTTTGAGCCGAGAGCGCACGAACGCCTCGAACAAACCGCGGCCTGCGCGGGGTCCACCGCGACTGGCGGGGAAACTGGCTGTAGGTCCCGGCGCGGATCGCGGGGGGGGGGGGGGGGGAAATGCGTATGAGAAGGGGTGCGACGGCATTTGAGCGTGGAGGAGCACGGTGGAGCAGCCGACAGTAACAGCCCCCTATGCAAGGCAAGCGAACTGTGGTTCCCGCCATATGCAGCACGCACGCGTGATGCGCGCTTCGAGGGGCGTGGTTGCCCATCTAACCATATGTTATGTTGCATCCTCGGGGGACCTTGTCTGTCCCGTCGCGGTCCTGTCCGCGTCGAATCCGTGTCGAATCCATGTCGGACGCGTCGGATCCGTGTCGGATCCGTGTCGAATCCGCGTCGAATCCATGCCAAATCCGCGTCGAGTCCGCATCGAGCACGCGTCGGGCCCCCAAAAAGACACAAATTTTTGGGACAGGCGAGGTCCCCCGAAGATGCAACAGAACCATATGAATCATTGCGCACCGAATGCGGCTGCAAGCGACGGCGGCGAACAGATCCACGTATGGAGAACACCTGCCCCGACCACGTCGGTCCTGGTTCCTAACGCCGCGTGTACCGCGCAAGGCTGACCTACTTCCGCTCTCGAGGGTCCTCAAAGTTGAGCAGGGACCGGCCGTCCCGGCATTCGGGTGGGCCTACCACGAAATCTTCGGACGGCGCACAGATAGTATTAGTAGATTGGGGTGGCGCCGACAGCTTGTCACGGCCAGCGAGATTGCCTGGGAGCAGATCGACAGGACGACCACATATGCGCAGGATGCCGTGGACGAGGACGTGCAGGCCAAGGGAAGCGTGGGCTCAACGGGTACGCTCGTCCAGGCCGTCCTTTGCTGTGGGCCCCCGCGCGGGCGAGGCGGCTGCGGATAAACTCCCTGGCCTTGTGACGCGCGCAGCCCCGGCTCAGCTCAACAAATCGAGCTCGCTTCGGTGGATCAGGCTGTAACGTCGAATAATAAAACAGCATCGAGGACAACCTACATGCTCATCAATCGCGACAATCACCGCACCATGCTCATTACCACCATCGTCGTAGTCATCGTCATTACTTCGAATACCTGCGCTGCCAATCCACTCGCAGAACCCTCATGACAAGCACAGGTGCTCTCCAGACGTACATTGCCATTGCCGCCACTGGTCCACAGAAGCAACCCGACAACAAATATGAAAGGTGGTCTTTCTGTGCAAACCCACACATAACGGGAAAAACGAAGCTTAATGCAAACATGCTGGATGTTGGATGTGTACAAATCCTACTGGGGCACTTCGTGGCAACCCGTGGCAACCTGACTCCGCATGACGCTTCCATGTCCTGCGGGAAGCGCCTCGCCAAGGCTTCCAAATCCTCCGCTGCATGCTTCAGCAAGCTGGTCGAAACTGGCGACTTCTCCCGCACCTGGGGGGATAATGGATTTGGACATGAGTCGAGCTATGGATCGACCACATGACAGCGCAACGTGCCATGCATACACCATAATTACGGATGTCGTTCGCACATGTCATCCGCGCGTACAGGTGCACATGTATAAGCAAAACGTAAGACATACACATGTAAAGATCCGCCGGCCCCGCCTGCTGGTGGTGAAAGGCGCGTGAGACACTTGGCTGGTCCCCCTAGAAAGGGGTTGGGAGGCCCAACCAGCAGCTTGCCCTAAGGCGAAGCCCATATCCAACTCTGTTGTATCGTAGTAGCGACAATCCCAAAGTAGGAGATCGTCGCGGGAGCGACGGGCTATCTCAAGCGAATATGTTTTCGGTCCCGATGGCAAGTAGTGTGACTCGCGATGAGGCACAATCAGATCTTGGCGGCTGGCCGCTTGAACACAAACGGCCGCGGACAAACGCTCGCTATCTCTCGCCTTTGCCCCAGCTCAGTTTAGAGTCCCCTCCCCCTTTCCCCCTTCCCTCGGGTCCTCCCCTTTCCCCCATCCCAAGATTCCTCCAGCATGCCGTCTGAAAGGGGTGGGGTGGGCGAGCTCGCCAACGCACACCTGGAGTCCCCGGATCCTCCGACAAAGCCCCAAGACGGCCCAAGAGAGCCCAGACAAAGCGCCAAGACAGTCCAAGAAAACGTCGAGACGGCGCAGGGTCGCCCCAGGACGGTCCAAATGGATTCGAGACGGCCCACGCGCCTCCAGGACGGCCCAAGAATGCTCCCAGAGGAACGCCGAAAGGGCATATTCACCATTTTCGCACTGGCAGCGTCCAAAACGGCCCACGGGGCCCCCAAGGTCGTCAAAACAAGGCCCATGAAGGCTCCATGGATGCCCAAGACAGCCCAAGAGGCACGAGGGCCCCAAGACAGCCTAAGAGGGCCCAAGACTGCCGCAGAGGCCTTCTAAGAAGCCCCCTAAGAGGGGCCCAAGAAGAAGGATACGGACTGACATTTCGAGCCTGTCTCCCGAAGATGGCCCTAACAGCCTCCCGACGCCCCCGAGGCGCCCACAAGAGGCCCCAGGGGGCTCCCAAGGGGTTTCCAATAAACCCCCCGAGGCCCAAAAGAAGGCACACAAGGCCCCCCAGATGCCCCCAATACCCCTCCAACAGGCCTCTGAAAAGCATCCCACGAGCCACCACATGCATTCACGAAGCTCCTGATCCACGAGATTCGTTCCAAGATCGTCCCAGGCGCTCGTTCCTTCTTGGGGGTCTGCGGAATGGCGTAAGCCACTTAGGTCATGTTCCACGACAGCGTGCGTCTCAGGTGGGGCAAGAACGCCGTCGCGTAAAGAAAAGGGGAGAAGGCACACATATAGCAAGAACGTGTGACTTTGGGTAGGTGGCTAGGCGTTTACTGACCTTCCCATGCAGAATTCAAAAGAAGGCGAATCGGTCAGCGTGCACCTACGATCCTGCATGTTGATTTGGAAACGATTTAAACACACGTGGATGGACGGAGGCTACGCTCAACCACACCTTGAACGGAGTAGGAACGCCAGCGAAGAGGTGAATGCTCACCTGCTCTCAGACATTTGACATGGCAAGAACGGAGCGTTGGCGAGAACGCGCGCGCTCACCGACTATCTGGAACTCAGTCCGAACAGAGAAGGCGGAACAACGAACGTGTCACCTCCCCCAAGTAAGACATACGCAAGAACAATGCGGGGTATGGTGTGGCAGCGTTCCCGTCAACGAATGCAATGCCAACAAATAACTCGCTGGGACGAGCAACGGTGCCCCGAACGCGACGGCGACCCTCGCACCTCCCGGGGCGAAGAGCAACGAGAATTGCTCTTAAGCAAACACGCGGCGCAAAACGCGAAAGAACGCAGTCCCCCCCCGAGGGATTCATTCGGCGCTAAACGGAGGCATACGTTCGAAGATGTGCCAACGCACGAAACGCTGAGATACGCAAGTCTGGCGCACTAATGAAGGGGCCCTAAGACTTCCAATAAATACACACACGTATAGAAGGATCCCCCTATTTTCCGATATTTTCTGGGCGTTTGCCCTCCCCGCCCACTTCCCATATTTTCCCATATTTCCTTTGGAATCGACGATGAATTGTGTCAGTGTGTCTTTTTCCCTCCTGAACTAAGCAGGCGCGCTGCGCAAACGCACTGCGGAACCGCGCAAGAAACCGCACAGAGCGGGCGCGCCGGGCAAACGCGCCGCGCAGGCGCGCTGCGCATGTTCGCCAAGCACACGCATCAAACAAGCGCACTGCGCAAGCGCAGTGCGCAGGCGCGCACCGTGTGGACGCGCTGCGCAAACGCACTGCGCAGGTGCACTGCGCCGGAGCGCTGCGCAGTGCGCACTGCGCAGGCGCTGAACCACCGCACCGCGCAGCCGCACTGCGCAGGCACTTTTTTTGGGTCGGCGGGGCGAGAACGAACCTCTTCCGCCAAGAACTGGGCGGGCTACGCACAGCTTCGATTAGGGAGGCAGGGCACAGGACAGGGAGTCCTCCCTCTCCGCAGCCCTGAGGAAGGACTGGAAGTACCGCGACGTCTTGGCCTTCTTCAGGGCCGCCGTGTCCTCGCACGGCGGCGGGGGGAAGGCGGAGGCGCGGGGGGGCGGCATCGGCGTCGGCCGAAGCCGCGGCGTCGGCGGCGGCGGCGGCGGCATGGGCATCGGCGCCCGACGCCGTGACTCTCACGGCCCCTGCGTTGCCCTTCCTCCTGCCGCGGCCTTCGGGGGCCGTGTCCGGGCCCCCGTCCCTCCCCTCCGCGAGTGATTATTCATGAAGGGGCCCCAGGACACACAAATAAATACGCACAAATAAAAATGTTCCCCATATTTCCCATATTTTCTTGGTTTTTGTCTCCCCCCCCCACTTCCCATATTGTCCCATCTGTTCTGGGGAATCGAGGATGCATTGTGTCTGTGTGTGTGTGTTTTTCCCTCCTGCATTTCATTCTGGATAGATCTTTCCTCCCACCCCCCCAAATCTGGGCGTAAGGTGCACTGCCTCCCCAAGCTTTTTTTCTTTCTGCAGTCAGGACTGAAAAGGTGTTGGTCCTTCCTCCATGCTACTCCGCTCGGGGCGGTGCTCGGGGCCGCTCTGAAGGGGGGCGCGTACGCCTCAGCGCCATCCCCCCCCCATCGCGAGAGGTCAGGGGGGAGGGGGGGCGAAGAATACAGTCGGGGCGTTGACCTAAGGAACCCTAAATAAGGAACGAGGCCCCATTTGTTCCCAGAAGTTACACTTCGATCTCCCATGGAAAACCTCATGAAAACCTAAGGCTAGCTGTAGGACAATGAAGGAACACCGAGCCCCTCCCCAACGAAAAGGGTTCCTTCTTCAGAGCCCCGACTGTAATCATCTCTCTTCGCTGATTGCTGATTCCCCCCTCCCGGGGAGGACAGGTGGGGGTGGGGGGGAGCCCCGCTGTGTAATCCTGGACCCTACATTACTGCTGCTGCCCGTTGTTATACTGATGCCCCCCCGGCTTTCCCTCGGAAGCTACTGCTAGGACTGAAATGTTGGCTCGCAGTGTCAGCGGTACTACTACATCCGAGCATGAAACATAGACATACAGGACCGCACATGCTGCACCCTGTCCTTCCATAACATAAAAAACGCAAAATTGTTTCCCGCCGTTCCAATATTTCGTTCTTTGAGGAACATATCTTTCGGATCCCGCTTTCTTTCCATTTTGGGTATCCGCCGACCTCTTTGGGGGTCACCAAACATATGGAATTCTACCCCGATGATGCTTCCCCCACGCCAGATTACAAGTTTTACAAAATGGGGGTCTGAGCTTATCCGGGGGGCCTCCCAGGCGGCTGGACGATGTCCTCAGCCAATTTCGAGCATTGATTTTTACCTCTTCGCTCGTTGAGGGTCGCCAAACAGCTGGTCCCAAGACAACCTAGAACTGCCTCAGGACGGCCAAAATGCTCCCAAGACAATCCAAGAAATGTCAAAACGGACCCCCCCAGGAAGCCTCCGAAACCAAAAAACGTGGTACTCACTCTCGATTTGTCATAGGTTTCAGCGGCCTTGAGGACACCCACGATGGCCGAAGAAACCCCCTCGATCGCCCCAACACAGCCCAGGAGGCCCTCACAAAGGCCCCAAGACTTCGCAACAGGGCCCCGACACTGGCAAATAGGTCCCCGCGGCGGACCCATAGGCCCCCAGCAGGGCCCCTGGAAGGGCCGAAGAAAGGAAACAACGCGGCCTTGGAAGCCTCTCGCACCAATGCGTCTTCAGATGCACCTCCAGGAGACTCCAGAGGGCCCAAAGCGCACTCCAGAGGCCTCTGACTGAACCTCAGCAGACTTCCAAGATGCCCCAGGAAGAATTCCAAGCGCTTCCCAAACGCCCAAAACCCATGACGTATCAACCTCGCAGCTCCTCTACGATTCTGGCTTCACCGCCTTCCCTTGCCCGCTCGGCCTGTCCCCCCCCCGATCGCCGAAGATGGTTCCAACTGGGCCCACGAAGGGCTCGGATGGCTCGTGGGCTCAGATGGCGTGGGCTCATGCTCTGAAGATTTGGGCGCCCGAGTTATCCGGGGTAACTCGGGTCTGGGGTAACTCGGGTTTGGGTTCCCGAAAAAGGAACCCGAATTGGCCCTGACCCGAGTTACCCCTGATGATGTGGGGCTCTGCACGCCCGAATTATCCGGGGTAACTCGGGCCCAGGGTAACTCGGGTTCGGATTCCCGAAAAACGAACCCGAGTTACCCCTGATGATTCGGGGCTCTGACAGATAGTTCGCGTGGGCTCGGATGGCTCCCGGGAGGAACCGCAGAGCGCCCAAGGAAGGCTCAATGGCGGCCCAGCTAGAATCACGTACGTCGACGCAGTGGGCGCCCGCATCGAGGGCGCAACGTTCCGAATGCAGCAGTACCCAAACAAGCCAGAACGTACCGCACCGCACTCGCATGGGCACTATTGCACCCGAAGCACACCCTGGCCGCAATACTCGTTCAATGCGACATCCGCCAATCCATTCGAGGACGCGCCATAGCTTTGCCCGTTGCTCCACCACCGCCTCTGCTAACGAGATTTCCGCTACTTTCCGAACCTTTCCTGGCTGGGACTCATCCTCGCCGGACTCGACGCGCGACATGATCTCTCATGAGAGCTCCGAGGCACCGACGTGGCAGAGCCATCAAGAGATCAATATAATCAGGCAATGTCGAAACACGATCCTCGGCGCTCCCGAACAAAGCCCGCGAGAATCAGACAACGGAACTATTTGGATGGCCGTTCTCATTCTAAGAGACTGCCCACAACTTCGCATCCTAGATCAAACCCTCAGACACCATGTGAAACAAACCCTACGGCCCGCAAACGCCAAAACTCGACACTCTAATACAGGGGCCGCCAGATGTGGCATACACCCATCAATTCTCCACCACGCCGTCTCGTGTGCATTTGAGGTAGAAATGTTGTTGACTCTTTGTTGCCGGTGACCGTTTTCTCTCCCTGTGCTGTGCCGGCCCGTTTCGTGTGCGTTCTCAAACCGTGTTTAACCACCGAACAAAATCCGCTCAAATTTAACAGATGTTGTCAATATATGCTAGTTCCGACATTGGCGTTCCGTTTACCTGCCCAATTTCGGATCGCGCCCGTGACAGTCTTGATTATGGCATGATTCCATTGCGTGTTGCGTGTTTTCTTCGTTCAAGATCGTCAGCAGCCGAAGATGGAAACGGGGGAGAACGCCGCACGCCCCTGAGGCCTTCACAATAACCCAGAACTTGTCGCATGCCACTACATCGCGTCTAGTGTCACTGATGCGACTACTCATGCTGCTGCTGCCATGGTAATGCCTGCTACGACGGTTCACATGATATGCATCATCTCTTCGACCCTTCCCACCCTGAAACGTCCGTGGGCATCATTTCGAATCCAGTGTTCGGGGTTCGGCTGACTAGCGAAGACCATGCGACGGGCCATCACACCCAATCACATGTTTGAGTACCGTGGGCCAAACCTGCGACGAACGCGACGCGGGACCCCTGGCCTCCGGCTCGTCCCCCACGGGTGGGGGATCACATTTTTGTTACGGAGGGCTCGAGAACACGTTTTGAAATACGGTTCCACAAGCAGTTTTCTGAGGGTTTAAAAGACATCTAGTCCAAGGGTGAGCAAAAATTTGCCGATCGTCGCCGTCTCGAAGCCTGGGCGCTGGGGGTTCAGAACAACGTTTCCTTGGCGCTGGGGGGGGTAGAGGGCAGAACATCCATCCCCAGAAACATCACCCCGATACGCGAAGCTGTCGAGTAAACGCACCCAAAGAAGAAATCGAACAGGACAGGGCCGGTTATCAAACGCCCAGGGCCGTCCAATAAACGCCGATTATCGGGTCCGCGTGGCTTTTCCTCCCTTGAACGGGGGGTGGGAGGGAAGGCCGGGCGGCGGGGGTCTCAATTCTCCCAGGGGCACCGGAAGAGGGGAGGATAAGGGTGGAGGCACTGCACAGCATTGCACTGCGTGGTATTCGGCTAACCAACTGTCGAACTATCCTCCTCCCCCTCCTCCTCCTCCTCCTCCTCCTCCTCCTCCTCCTCCTCCTCCTCCTCCTCCTCCTCCTACCCGGGGTCCTACCCTTCCTCCTCCCCCATCGTCCTCCTCATCCTCGACCGCCGTGCTCAATCTCCTACCCCATTCTCCCGGATCTATCCTCCTCCTCCTCTCCTCCTCCACCTTCTCATCCTACTCTTTGCTACTCCTCCTCCTCCTCCTTCGCCTTCATTCCTCCTCTTCCTCCTCATTCATGCTACTCGATTCTCGATCCGCCATCCTCAATCCTCCTCCTTCTCCTCCTCCTCCTTCTCCACCTCATCGGCACGTGGTCCTCGGTCCTTGATCCTGAATCTCCCCCACCTCGACTTCCACTGGTGCTCCTCCTCCTCCTCCTCCGCGCCACCATCAGTGCAATTTGTGGTCGTCGTAAACGTTGTCGAAGTCGTGATCACCCATCGTCCCAATCGTAATAACCACCATCATCCGCACCATCACATCATAACTATCATAATCATCATCGACTACAGCATATCCATCATCATCATCGTCATCATAATCATACTCAGCATCACCAGCAGCAGCATCATCATCACCATCATCACAATCGTGATTATCGTCAGCGTCATCATCATCATCATCATCATCATCATCATCATCATCATCATCGTCATCATCATCATCATCATCAGCATCAGCATCAGCGTCAGCATCTTCATTGTCATCGCCATCGCCATCGCCATCGTCATCGTCATCATTATTCTTACCACAGTGACCACCATCGTGACCATATGACGCACTGCTTACATTCAACACCATCATCATCACTATCATCATCATCATCATCAGCAACACCATCATCATCATCATCATCATCATCATCATCATCATCAGCATCAGCATCATCATCATCATCATCATCATCATCACAATCATCGCCACCACCACCATCATCATCGTCCATCATACTCGTTTTTGCCGTGTTTGTCACGGCTATCATCGCCATCACACTGCCCGACGCCTCCAATTATTAAAGTCTTGAGCAACCTGGAGGGGCTGTCAAACCTGGAACGCTCAACCTTTCGAGCGTCAGCCCGCCGACCCAAAACCACTTCAACTCTCCAACCCGTGAAATTCGCCCAACCCCTCAAACACCGACGAACTGCCTGAGAGGCAACCTGGCCGACCAACGAACCAACCAACGAACCAACCCATAAACCGACCAACCGACCGACGAAACAACCAATCAAAAAACCGACGAATCAACCAACCGACAAACCGGACAATCAATCAAGTTTACCAACCCAGGCAGCCCATCGGACAACCAGCCAACTGGCCGGGGGGGGGGTCTGGCTCTGGACCTCTGCTTAGTGCAGACTGTCTGCAGCAGTGCGTCCTATGGGGGAGACTCCACCTGCTCGAAACAGGCGCTGAAAACAGCCAAGATCTACTCCATGGGAGAGGGGGGAGAGGGGGCGCGAGGGCCCGCGCCGATCAGCAAAACACTGGAGTTATGATGTTCCAAACTGCTTTAGTCTTGAGCACCAGAAAGAATTTCGAGCACCAAAAAAGTACCAAAATTGGAAGGTTTTCACGTGTCGGGCCCTGGGAGACACTCGTTCGACACTGTTTCGACACTTGTCCAGGTGCTCGACATTATCTCTGGGACGTGGTCCTGAAGTACGATGGGAGCAACATAGCACTGGAGAAGAAAACGACGACAGGGGCGCGGGAGCGAGCCCTTAGAGGGGGCGGCGGCAACGACGGGCGGACGGCGGCGGCAGCTTGCTGGCCATCGCTCGGACGTCTATCCATTCCCTGTTTTTGTTCGGTTTCGTGCGTGTTTTTTTCGCCAAATGATCAAGGATGCTCCTCGATGGTCCTCGCCGAAGGAAAAATGCACACGTCCGAGCGATGCCAAGCTGGTGGCTGCTGGGGGGGGGGGGGGGGCGCCTGCAGGAACGACGCCGCGCCCGGCGGGCCGGCACGCTGGCCGAGGCCACCCGCGGAGGGGGCCTCCGTGGCGACGGCGGGGAGGGGACGTCGGAGGCACGCGGCGTCGGCCGCGTCGTCGTCTCGCCTGCGGGTGACGTCCTCAGCGTCGTTGTCGACCTCGTCGCCGTCTTGCGGCGGGCCCTCTGGGCGTGTCTCTCTCGGCGTCTTCCCCGCATCCCGAGTGTGCGTGGCTCTGTTTTTCTCAGCACGACGCCTCCGCATCCTGACTCGCACACTCCTGCCTCCTTTTACCTCTCATCGCACTGAGGTTCACTGATCCACCACCGTGCCGCTGGGCACGGAGTGGGCGTGTCCTCAAGTCCTTTGCCGAATCCACTAAGCCTCAAAACTCACTCTTGAAGAGTTCTGAAAGAACCCGGAGCCCAAATTACCACATTTGGCGGGGCTGGTCGCGTCTTGTCGCTTGATTTCTCGGAGCCAAGGGGGTTCCAAGACGGGCCAAGGGCCCCAAGAGACCCCCCGAACGGTCCAAGAGGGCCCCGGGTCTCCGAAGAATCTGTCCAAGACGCTCAAGATGCCCCCCAGACGGCCTGGTAGACCTCCAAGATGCCCCAAGAGGCCTCCCAAGAGGTCCCCAAGAATCCGGATGTCATTTTCTCTAAGTTTCTGAAGGCTGCGCCTTTTCGGTTTCCCGACCCTTCCAGACGGCCTTAGAGGCCCCCAATATCGCCACAAACACCCCCGCTTGAAAAAGGAAAGGGGGGAGGGGGGCGGGTCCCGTAAGGACACGACTCCTTCAAAGATTACGGGGGCACCCAATGGCGCGCTTTTCTTCCTTCCGGCCTTCCGAGGGCCAAAGACGGCCCGATAGGCCTCCAAGTTCGGTCCAAGATGGCCCCCAAAGCCTCCAAGATGACGCCATGACAGCCAAGAATCCGCCAAGGCGGCTTCAAGAGCGCCCCGAGACGGCCCGAGAGACCCCCAAGACGCCCAAGATGGCCTCCAAGACGGCCCTGAAGCGCCCCAAGCCGGTTCAGAGAGGCATCCAAGACGGCCTCCAACGGCGACAATCGGGCCAGGAGCGCCCGAGGACAGCCAAGGAGGCCCCCCAAGAAGCCCCCAAAGGCCCCCAAGAGGCCCAAGAGGGCCCCCAGGAAGCCCAAGAGTGACCCCAGAGGCTCTTAAGAGGCCCTCTCCTTCCTGCTTCCCTTTCCTTCTGATTCCTCCCTCTCCTCCTCCTCCGCCTCCTCTTCCTTCCCCACGTGTTCACCGAAGGGCTTACGCAACGACTGGGGGAACGCATGGTTCAATAGCGTGGCCAAACTTTGCCCAAACGCTTGGCCACAGGGCGGTGGTGATTCGCCGTAGGTGTCTTCGATCTAGACTCAACCTTGCTGACACTTACACTCACTCATATACAAGCCGCCCCAATTCATATCCACTTATACACAGCCATACCATACATACTCAGACTCCTACACACGTGCCGTTCACAGCATGATCATGCTCACAGTCTGATCACCGCGACATAGCCGGCGTGGCACTTGGGCATCCAAAGGGGAACGCCGCCAGGGGGCATGACACTCGCCAGCTCGCGCCAAGAGTGTGAGATGTCTCAAGCGGCTTGCCTGCTATTGCTTCCCAGCCTCCTCTCTCTTAAGAGCCCCACGATCCCTGCGACATAGCAGGCGTGGCACTTGGGCACCCCACGGGGGAGCCGCGAAGGATAGCTACACCCACCCGTCCGCGGCCAGATTGTGGGGGTGTCTCAAGCGGTGTGTTTTGTTGTGCTTCCACACTGAAGGGGAACTGGAACACGCAAATAAATAAACACAAATAACCAGATTCCCCATATTTTCCAATATTTTCTAGGTTTTTCTTCCCCCGCTTCCCATATTTTCCCATATTTTCTTTGGAATCGACGATTCATTGTGTCTGTGTATTTTTGTTCCCCTCCTGACAAACATCCTCTGTCCTCAGAGCCCCATGCTCACCAGGAGGAAGCGGGCGGGGCACCTGGGCACTCCAAAAGGGCGGCCGCTCAAGGGCATATCACACTCACAGTGCTCGCGGCCAGATTGTGGGGAGTGTCTCGAGCGGTGTGCATGCGTTTGCTTCCCGACCTCTCCTGGCCATCGCTCGGACGTCCATGCCCTGTGTTTTTTTCGATTTCGTTAGTCTTTTTACACCAAATGATCAAGGATGCTCCTCGATGGTCCTCGCCGAAGGAAAAATGCACACGTCCGAGCGATGCCAAGTCTCTTATGAGAACCCCATGATCACGCGACGTAGCAAGCGTGGCGCTTGGTCACCCCTGGGGGGAGCCGCAAGGTGGTGCTGCACTCAGCCGTTCGCGTCCAGACTGTGGGTGTGTCTCAAGCGGTTTGCATGTGTTTGCTCCCCAGCCTCCTCTCTCTTGAGAGCCCCATGGCCACCGCGACACGGCAAGCGTTGCACTTGCGCACCCCGAGGGGGAGCCGCCAGGAGGTGCTACACTCACCCGTTCGCGCCCTGATCGTGGGGATGTCTCCAGCGGTTTGCTCGTTTCGTGGCTGGAACTCCTCTGCCTTCAGACCAGGTCGTGTGGATTTCCAGAGCAGGGCGCCTGGCATTTGGGTACGCCAGCGGGAAGCCGCCAAGGGGTGTCACATTCGCCCGTCCGCGGCCAGATTGCGGGGACTCCTCATGCGATTTGCTCCTCTCGTGGCTGGGACTCCTCGGCCTTCAGACCAGATCGTGACAATGTCCCCAACCGAGGCGCGTGGCACATGGGCACCGCAACAGACAGGCGCCAGGGGGGTATTATGCTCGCCAGTTTGCGCCCAACGTGTGGGGTTACATCAAGTGGTTTGCTCATTTCGCTGCCGGGACCCCCCTGCCTTCACAGAAGATCTTGGGGATGCCTCGACCGGGTCCTTTGGGCACTCCAAGGGGGAGCCGCCAGAGATGGCCCAGTCGCCACAAGCTAAGATGGACTCACTCAGACATTTACAGACGGAAGCGCCAGGAACTAAGATGCATAGAGGGGGATCCCCACGTCGAATAATCAATTGTCGTAGCTCCTGGGACGTCGCCGCCAACGCCATGGTTCCTGGAGGGCCCTGGTCGCGACGGCGGGGCGGAGGCTCGCAGATGTGCCGGAGTGGGCTCCTCGGAGGGGGTGTGAGCAGCGGCGCTCGATGGGGTCTTGGGCACGGGGCGGGTGCGAGGGGCTGACTACCTACCAAACCACCCCAACCCAAACCGACGATCCGAATTTCGGGTTAGGGGGGGGGTGCGGGTTCCATATGTGTTTTTGTCAATGTTCCCCGACCCCCCCTACTGGAAGTGGAAGGCAAATTGAAGCCTTCGGGTTGGATTGGGGTGGCTTGGTGGGTGGTGAGGGGTGGGTGCGGCCGTCGAGGAGAGCGGGATGCTGAAAGGTCACCCAGGACGGGCAGTCTCCTCGACTACGCTCCTGGGGGTCTCCGAGAGATGGGGCGGGAGGCTCGCGTCACGCCGCCGATGCATCGGCGATGCCTCGGCGGCGGCGGGATGGAGAAGCACGGGCTGCAAATCCCACCGCATCGCCGATGCAGAGGTGATGCGGCGCGGCCTTCGGACCGCCCATCAACTCTGGTTCTGCGCGCGAGGCGTGGAGGAACAAAAAGGCGGGCGCATCGACAAGATGTCACGGTGAGCGTCTCTCCTCGACTTCGCTCTGGGGGCCTGCTTCGGGCCCCAGGGTCCGTCCAAAACCAGCATGAGGAATGAGCGAATCTGGCCTGGGCGGACGGCGGGGTAAGTTGTGAGCAGACCTTGGCTGGGGAAGCGGAAAGTGGACGGATGAACCGACAAATCGATGGCATTACATGTTGCGCGTTTCTGAAAGTTCCGGGACGCCCCGTCGGCACCGCCAGATTCGTCACCAAATTCTGGTGGGGACGCACACCTACGCTGGTCCGGGTGTCGACTTCGAGGCACTGGGCATCTAGCACGTAAAGTCAAAGTGCATCCCCATAAGGAACGAAGCCACCTTTGGCCCCAAGCCCGCCTGGGCTCACGAGGAGCGCTAGAACACACAACCATGGAACGACCGAAGGAATAGCCAGCCACTTCCGAACTGTTCCTTGTCTCCGCGGCTTGACTGCACGCAGGAGGGGCGAAGCATCGAGAAAGGCGGAGGGGTAGGCAGAAGGGCCACTTGGCAGGATGCACGGGGCAGCGGCGACAGCAAAGACGCCCTCGGCGAGTCCAAGGGGGACCCTCGACGAAGGGAGCGAAGGCTCGACGTTCGCCAACATCTCGGCACGCCCGAAACGGGCACGAACAAACGTGGGAACGGGGCCCAACGTCGAGATACTATCTTGAACCGACAGCGGCCACCGTTGGGCAGGGGCATTTCCGTCCCAAATGAGCTCAAGACGGACAGGAACTGCTGTCCGCCTTGCACCATTCTCTCCGAACCCCCTTCAATCGCACCGAACATCCCGGGCCTTGAGGAGGCTGGGAGGGCCGTGGGCAAGTAGGTGCGGGGGGGGGGTGCACGGCGAGGCGGAGAGGAGTCCTCGGGCGGAGGAGGGAGCCTCGGCAAGAGGGAGGCGGCCGTTGCTCGGTCGGGGGGCAAGCCGCGGGGCAGGGGGGGCCACTCAGAGCGCGAGGAGCCTGTGAACAATGCGACGACGGATGGGCTGAGATGGGCGCCGAGGGCATGCTGCGGAGCCCCCCACCCCCTTCTTTGAGCGAAGAGATGCGCAAAGCCCCTCATGACACCTTGGCCCGTAACCCTGTGGCTCACCAGAGACGCAGCCCTGTAACATACACTCACGACAACGTTCTTCTCTGGCGTGGGGACGCTGGCCAAATCCGCAATGCCTCTCCGTGCTGCCACCATCTATCCTTCCCAGTGCGCCGTGACCCAGCTGAACCGACCCCCGACAAAGCAGAGCAAAACATCATCATCGTCATCATCATCAGCAGCAGCATCAGCATCAACATCGTCATCCTCATCCTCGTTTCCATCAACATCATCAGCACAGACATAAGTACCCCCTCCTCATCCTCCTCCTGATCCTCAGCATTATCATCAGCATCAGCATCATCATCAGCATCAGCATCAGCATCAGCATCAGCATCAGCATCAGCATCAGCATCAGCATCAGCATCAGCATCAGCATCATCATCATCATCATCATCATCATCATCATCATCATCATCCTGATCATCATCCTGATCAGCATCACCATCCTGATCATCATCACCATCAATCACATCAACATTACCATTACCGTCACCACATTCCACATTAAATTCAAGATTATATAGTCGTCGTTTGTCCCTGTCCCTCTGCCCCACTTCCTCCCACCCATCCCCTATCCATTATGATCCTCATTATTCTCTTCCTCCCTTCACCTCCACATCAGCCCGACCCCACCTCCGCCTGCTCCCAGCAAGCTGGAACAGGCAGATATTGCAGAGATCGCGTGGTCGCTACATATGCGGAAGGCCATGTACACTGCGGCCGAACGATGGGAAGACATGCGGCCAGAACATATGTATCCGGCTCCTGTCAAGACCGTGCAGCCCCCGCCCAAGCCAACTTCCTCCTGATCCGCACTTGGCTACGGCAAGCTCCTTCCTTGCCTGGACGATCCTGAATCTCCGCCCCCACAGGCTGCAGAACCCATGTCGCAAATGGATTTCGCACCGTGGGCTGTTTCTTGGGAAACCAAAACGTACCGACACCTCCTACTCCCCGGCCCAAGATTTCGAGGCGAGTCCAGCGGCTGCGACGATGGCCTCCTGGGAGGCCCAAAACGGGGCAACCGGGCGAAGGGTGGCATAATGGGTACCTGTTCCTCCTCCGAACTTCAGTGGGCCCCGGCATCCAGGACGGCCCCCAGGAGGGCGCTCCGCCATGCACGACCGCGCTGGTGGCGGCCACTGCACAGAGGCAGAGCGATCCTGCCGTCGTGTGCCCGGCCGCCCTCTGCCGGCCGCCTGCTCCAGCATGGACCGGATGGTGGCGGACTGCGCCTGTGCGCCGTCGGCGGCGGGGCGGCCGGTATGAGCCACCGAAAAAACACAACGACGACGAACACGTCGTGCCGTTCTGGGCCAAGTCGTCGTCGTCAACGTCGTCGTCGTCGTCGTTTTCGTCGTCGTCGTCATCGTCGTCGTAGCTGTCGCCGTCGCCATAGCAGCCGCCACCGCCGTAGCCGCCGTCGCCCATAGGCAGCAAATGGGGGCGATCTGGTCCTTGATGTGTTCAGCGATCTCCTTTCTCTGCTTGTCGTCGTTGGCACCTTCGGCCAGCGGATTTGATTCCATTCTCTGACGCAGTCGATCCCTTCCCCCGATTCCACTGTGGCAACCCATTGCCCACCCTGGATGTACACTCATGCGGCGCATCGCCCGCGCATCGATAAGGGCGTTTTTTTTCCAGCCGTCCTCGGATGAACCAACAGCCGCGCCCGCGGGACATCCACGGGACATCCACTGGAAAAATATGACAACCACGGGACAACAACGACACAACAGCAAACCAACCATGGGACAAACGCGGGACAATCGCGGGACCACCCAGGGATACCGATCTAACGATCGATCGCTTGCACCAACCACCGACGGACCCCATTATGAACAAATCGGTGCATGCCAGGATCTGCCGGCATCACACTTTATTGCCCTATTTACATATCGTACACGCCACGATCGCTCCATCTACCGGCATGAATCATTCATCGGCCCCTTCTTTATCGGTGTACTGAAATCACTTTCACTCTGCGTAGAAATCCCACAATTCATCGGTCGGGATCAATTTCAACATGCAAACGGGGCAACCGCATACCAACCGCTGGACAACGTCGGACTAACCACGGAACAAGCACGGGCGAACCGCGGAACAGCCAAAAGACAACCACTGGACAACAACAAGAACACCACGCTTGCACCAACCACCGACGGACCCCATTATCAACAAACCGGTGCATGCCAAGATTTGCCGGCATCACACTTTATTGCCCTGTTCACATGTCGTACACGCCACGATCACTCCATCTACCGGCATCATTATTCATCGGCCCCCTCTTTATCGGTGTACTGATATCACTACCACTCTGCGTATAACTCCCACAATTCATCGGTCGGGATCAACTTCAACATGCAAGCGGGGCAACCGCATACCAACCGCTGGACAAATATGGACTAACCACGGGACGAACACGGGCGAACCGCGGAACAGCCAAAAGACAATCACTGGGCAACAACAGGAACACAACGAGCCATCCACCGAACAACCATGGGCAATCACGGGACCATTGAAGGACACCCACAAAACAACCGCGGGACATGCGATGGACAACTACGAGACGACAGCGGGACAGCCACGGTACATGAGGAGCAAGAGAAGGAGTTATTTTTTCCCACGCCACGCACGCACTGTGCTCCATCATCCCCAGTCATTGCTAGGGCGTGCCGCCAGGCGGACACGCGCCCAAGTGGAGAAGGGGAATGAGGAAACAGCAGCAATACGAGGGAAAAGGCACTGGAAGATGAACGTCAACACCTGCACAAGCTTCACCCACCGCGCGAGGACACCGATGTACCTCGCGCGCGGAAGCGTCGCCGCGGGACCGCCCGCCCAGAGGTGGCGATAGGCCACGACCGCGGGCGGGGTGACTCGCTGGACACAGGGGGAGGACAGAACACATACACCACAAGGGGTGGCGCTTGCGCTCGCCAACCCCGCCTGTTTGGGGCGGGGAACCCGCGGAGGGACCCAGCTGCCATGCGGATCCTGACCGCCGTGCGCGGCAACCCGTCGACAGGCACGGGGCGGGCGCAGCGGAAGGGGCACCGAGGGGGCGGCCGCATTCTCTCGCGCGCGCCGCCGCTCGCTCCCTGACCACCTCATCCCAATCCAGGAGGACCCAATCCGACAACGCAGCGCGGCGCGCAGCGCGCAGCGGCCGCGGCACCGCGCAGCAACGGCAGGGGGGCACGCAGGGGAGGGCGCACAATAGCAGCAGCACCACGACGACGGCAGCACCGACGGGGGGGGAGCACGGGGGCCGAACCCGACAAGCTAACACGGCACGCAGCGGCAGTGGCACTCCGGAGCAGCAGCAGGGGGACACGCAAGAGAGGGCGCACAGCAGCAGCACCACGACGACGGCAGCAGCGGCAGGTGGCAGCACGGGGGACACAAGGAAGAGGAAACGAACAAAAACGAGGGCCCCAACAGCGCACCACCCCGCAGTCGAGGGAGGCAACTGCAAGGGAAGGCAAGGATACGGACGTAAAGCACGGCCCGGGGCCCACATAACCATGAAACAATACGTCGCCGAGCTCAATACGCCCAGGGACAAACTCAAGAGTGAACCACACAGCGTCACAAAGAACAGGACCAAACGCTGACCACAAGGCTCCTGGAGCCATTGAGCAAAGACACGGATGCAAGGGCCCGCAGGCGAAGCAACGAGCAAAACCCGAGATTCCGCGGCAGGGCCAAACAAATAACGCCGCCGAGGGTCAGGGGGAGCGGCACTGCCCCGCGGACCGCCAGGAAAAGGCGGACAAGCCGAGCGGCCCTCACAACCATCACTCTTTAGGGACACGCAGTGGCCACGGCCTGTTGGGCGCGCGCTTCCAAGACGAGAGACTTGAAAACATGTCGTAAACAGGCCACTTCGAAATACGGACCAAAACCAAACCAAAATCCAAAAACAGAAAACGCGAAAACACACCGACCAAGGGGCCCCAGGGCCAGGATCGCTGGCGGAAAACAAAAGCAAATTTCATTTCAGAGAGTTCCTGCTGTGAACTCTCGTCATCCCGACCCCCGGCGCGCGAAGAAATGAGCCTCAAACCGCGCCTCCTGGCACTGCCCATCCCCGTGGAACCCCGGTGGGATTCCAGCCAGATTTCTGGGCCGAGGAAGGCCGTGTTGTGCGTGGGAGGTCCTCGCAAAAACGACCACCAGAATCCTCGCAAGGAGGCCCCCAACCGCGCCTCCTGGCACAGCCCTGCCCCGTGGGATTCCAAGGGAATCTGGGCCAGATTGTTGCTCCCAACAAGGCCGTTTTGCGTGTGAGGTCCTCGGAAAACAAGCCCCAGGCCCTCGCAAGGAGGCCCCCCACCGCGCCTCCTGGCACCGCCCTGCCCCGTGGAGGTCCGGCGGGATTCCGGCCGGAATTCCGGGCACAAGAGGGCCGCTTCGCGTGGGAAGCCCCCGCAAAAAAAAAAAAAAAAAAAAAAAAAAAACGCAAGGCTCCCCCAATCGCGCCTCCTGGCGCCGCCATGCCCCGTGGAATTCTGGTCGGATATCAAGGCCCACCAAGGAGCGGGCCTGGGAAGGTCAGGGAGGGGAGGCCGGGGCGAAGCGGAAGCGGGGGTGGCGGGCGGGGGCGGGGCCTTCAGCGTCGCGCGAGAGACAGTCCGCAATGCGTTTCCGTAGCAATTTCGGCTCGAGCCTCTTGGGCCCGAGCTTGCCGTGGAAGGCCCCCCCAAGAAAAAACGCATGATTGCCGCTGGAGATCTTCGGCAGCCGCGCCAGCAGTTGCAGCCCACGGGCAGGCGACGCCGTCGTCGACGCTTTAAAGGCACTCCTGGTTGCGCGGCAAGCAACGCAGCCGAATTCCCAGGCGTCAGTTCAAAAAAAGAGGCGATCCTTCCCGAGAGACCAAACTTCCCGTCCGCCTCTCCGAGGCGCGGTCTGGCGCGGCCACCGACGCGCAGAGCATCGCCTTGCACGCCTTGCCCGCGCTGGCTGGGCCTAGGCCACGCAGCCAGCTAGTAGCAGACACTCGAGCCTGGCAGGAACGAGCGGGCGCTGACCAATCCCCTCGCCGCAATGCCGGCCGCAAGGCCGAGGGGCAGTCGCTCGCGAATCGGTGGGCGAAGCCATATGTCGCAGATAACGCCGTGGCCTACGCTAGAGAGCTCGCCGCATCAGACTTTGACCCCGCGATCATTCCGTGCCCGGCAGTGCCCCCTGGCTACAGGAGCTCGCTGCAGATCGCCGGACGTGCTTGGATAGTTGGCTGGCTGGATAATTGCGACGAGATCGTCGACGAGACCGACCTGCCCTCGCAATGGGAAGTGCTCGCGCAGCGCCCCGACAAATTCTTCGCTGTCTTGACTGAAGCAACTGTTCGGTTGGGCGCTCGAGACGCGCTGCCTAATCACTGGGGCGCAAGACGCTGCTTGCTCGAATTTCTTCGGGGTGCGCGCTGCGATTGAAATATTGATCTGGGAATTCCCCGCGCGCGCTCTGCTCTGCGGCAATTGTTTCTGAGTTCGGGCACGCTCATGCACATGTTTTCCGACGCCGCGGCGCTCGGTCGCAACGGTCTCCTCTGCCGTGCGTCCTGTCTCGCCATCGCCGCCGTCTCGTTCGCCCCCGCTGACCCTCGCCCTGCTGATCCTCGCCCGCTGCGCAGCCGCCGCCGCGCCCTCGTCGTCGTCGTCGCCGTCGACGACAAGCGCGCGCCCCTCCTTCTATAAACGGAAAATCCCGATCAACCGCAGAGCGGCCGGCTGATATGCCGCGCGGGGCGGCGCTCGCGCTCGCCGCCCCCGCCAGCGCCCCGGGCGGGGGGCCCGCGGAAGGGGCCCAGCTGCAATGCTGATCCTGTCCCCCAAGGGAGGCGCGATGGGTGGGCGCGGCGGAGGGGGCGGGGGGGGCGACCGCGCGCCGCCGCTCGCTCCCCGACCTCCCCACCCCGGGCCGAAGAGGGCCCGGCACGACAACGCAGCGCGGCGCGCGGCGCGCAGCGGCCGCGGCACCGCGCAGCAACGGCAGGGGGGCACGCAGGAGAGGGCGCGCAGCAGCAGCGCCACGACGACGGCAGCAGCGGCAGGGGGGGGCACGGGGGACACAGGGAAGAGGAACGCAAAAACGAGGGCCCCAGCAGCACACCACCCCGCAGGCGAGGGAAGCAACGGCAGGAGCAGGAATGGATACGGACGCTAAGTTGGGCTCAGGAACCATGTGACCACGAAGCAATGCGTCGCCGAGCTCAACGCATTGTCAATGCGCCCAGGGACGCACTCAAGAGTGAACCGCGCAGCGTCGCAAAGAACAGGGCTCCACGCGGACCACGAGGCCCCTTGGGCTACTGGGCACGGACACGGATGCAAGGGCCCGCAGGCGAAGCAAGGGGCAAGACCCAGGACGCCGCAGCAGGGTCAAAACGAAGAGCCAGGCAGGGAACGCCGCCGAGGGCCAGGGGGAACGGCGCTGCCCCGCGGCCCACCCGGGAAAAGCAAACAGCCCAAGCGGTTTTCACCTCGCAACCGTTGC